CTACATCATACCAATCTGATCAGAATCTAGCTAACAATTTTATGACCTTCTTTGAGGACAAAATTTTTAATAATGTAATGTTTTGGTATTTTGATTTTTGTTTAAGTTCGTGATGTATTTCTATGTAGCCTCAGTCTTATCCTAATGGGAATTTTTTTTAGATGTGAAGAGAGGACGGCCATTCGAATTAAAGTACTAAATGTGCTTTGTAAGATATTAGGAACGTTATCTCCACTATATGAGGTATAAAATGTTGGTACTTTGAATAAATTTTAGTCCATTTTTCTAGACATTAGCGATATTATGAATTTTTTTTTTTAGTTTTGTAACTCCTTGTTTTTTACAGGGAGAAATACTTGAGAATTCAGTGTTGCCACATTTAGACCACATTGCGAAAGATCGGGATATTTTTGTGCAGATCCGAGCTGTCCAGTTTCTGGTCGATGTTATTGAATCCTCTGATTCACCGAAAGTTTGCGATGTTTTGCATATAATCGAGAAGGTACTCAATACAATCCTTTTCAGTTGGTTTCATTTCTCCACTCCAATTTGCCTCTTCATTAGTGATGAGCTGATACTGTACTTCAATAAAAAACTCTCTCTTATCAGTGAAAGCTTCCTGACCTGAACCCAACCATATACCCGCGAATTGGATCGTTTTACACGGGAGTCGTGAATGCAAACGCATCAGTGAAGTAAAAGGATATATATTTCATTTATCAATTCCAGATGCCACTGTCAGTGATCCTCTCAAGCGATACGTTAAGCCGTCGTGTAAAGAACATGTAAGGTAATTATAGAGACTGCAAGGTATTTGTAGGAACATCTAGAGACATATAATTACATCTAATCACTGTAGATGCCTTTGTTGCTGCAGCCTCAGGATGAAACAGCGTAGAAAGACATCAAAGAGGCTGCATTAGGATTAGTACGGGGAACTATTTTGGCTTCAAGCTAGATAGGGATTTTTGTCAGGACTTATCGTTCCAGTTGTATAAAATGAAACTATTCACAATGAATTCCAAATCGTAATTCATCATGGTATCAATGCCCCCCCCTCCTCTCTCTTTCAAAAATTAGGCCCATGTTCCATTTTTAATTTAATAAGTGGGTTCTTTATAAAGTGATAAGCTAGCTAAAGCTAATGTTCCAAACTATTTCCACATCAACATATGCTATATTTTTGTGCAGAAGATTAGTGGATATAAATAACATTGGAGTGAACGAAAGGTTCCAGTGACGTTAGAGGTACTATTATTGTTTTCAAGTTTCTTCATAACTTACCTGTGTGTTCATTTATATATATAATAATATATATATATATATATATATATATATATATATATATATATATATAATATATATATATATATATATAATATATATATATATATATATATATATATATATAATATATATATATATATATATATATATATATATAAATATATAATATAATATATAATAATATACTTGATATTGCCAGACATTTGAATATTTGTGATTTGAATAATTCAACTCAGGCTTTCATTCCATTTCTATCCTTAGGTCTCAGATTATCCTAAGGGATTTGTTGTTGTCTGTGGTGGTTTTAGAACAATGGTATGTACCAGATGCTGCTAGTACCAGCCATATAATAACAAAAGGATAAGATACCGGTTATTTCTGTAAATTGAAGTTTTACATTTTGTGCACCATTTTGCTTTTGTTTTCCAGCTTCTTTTCACATCAGAGAGGAGAGGGCAATTGCTGAAAAAGATGATGGAATCTTCTTTCAATAATGTTGGTGTTATGATAAAGTATGTGAACATTTTAAGTAAACAAATTTTAAGTAAATGACAAAATGACTTACATTCAGGTTACTTTATTTACGTTTTAACCGTTTTTGACAAAATTCTTTCCAGGTCTGTAATTTACTTTGAGCTGTATTTGTTATTTCTTTTGCCTCAGTTTTAGGCAGAAGAAAAGTTCCATCAAAGTGGAGTCGTTTTTGAAACAAATTTGGAAAATACAGTTGAATGATATATTGTTAAGACAGTATTTCGTTTGTCCTGTGTAAAGAATGTGAGATATGACAGTAAATGACAAATTTTTCGTCTCAGTGATGACGAACATATCACATCAATGTCAGAATTCAGCGTCTATAAAGAAACTCCTCGGATTAAAGTGAGTTATGTTGTTAATAAAATTTTTCTAAGAGTCTATCCTTTTTCTCATTTTAAAATCGTTTTGACACTGTCAAATTTAGGATCCTGTTCAAAGAACGCTGTGTTTCTTAGAAACGTGTCTTTTGGAAAGAGATCCCGCGACGTACAATATCGTCACCCTTCATCCCCTTAGCTCATTAAGTCATGCGACATTCCATGTCAGTTCCAGTAATTGTTCATGTCTGACCTTGAAAAAAAACACTCCAAACACTCCAAACACTCCATGTCTTCTGACCTGGATTCACGTTTACTGCTTTTATCGTCCTTTTTATTTCACGTTTCCATTTTGAACATGTCCAATTGCAAAAAAGTATCCAGCCGAGTTAAAATAGTTTTATTTTTGTAGTTACTTTCCAGAATTTACCGTATATACCGTATAGAATATTATAGTTTTCAAACTTCTTTTGCTGTCAGATATTTTCAAAATTTGCTATCGAAACCATCCTCAGTTGTTGGGGCGGAATACACAAGCGGTCGGCTGAGAAATTACTCGTCTCCTGACAGGTAGTGTAAGAAAGCAAATTTTGTATGAAGCTATAAAAAATATTTCTTGTTTTGAATGTTTGTATTTCACTCAATCTGGGATACATTATTGGCTGGTTTGCTAGACGGTGTTAGAGCCAGTTGAAACAGAGATGTTTGCGTAAAAACGACCCAACGAAGAAAAGTACTGTACGCTTATTCATAGATGATTGAGCGAAAATTATGGTCAAAATTTTCCTGATGAAAATCTTGTACTGCTATGATTACCCTAAATACGATCCCTCATTTCATTCTCCTGCTGACGTATGTGATCTCATATAACACACCAACAATTACACTTCTCGTCAGGTATCAGGCAATAGCATTATTCCTATTAGCCAGTTCAATACATTACATACAGCAAAAAGAGAATTGTTTTTTTAAGATGATATATTTTTCAAGGTTATCGTTGGGGTCCATTGTATAATGTTGTTGACGAAGAAGTAGAAAGCAGTAATTTAAATTCCTCGCTCCGTCTCCAGGTGAAATATTTCTCTTTTTATTTCACTTTAAATTTTTGAAATATCTCCAAAAGCTTATATTGTCTTATGACTGGTTCCTTGCAGGAAATTTAACCGAGGCTGTGTACAGATTTAACTAAATCCTTGTACATGCTACCTTTGAAAGGACTAAGTGAATAAATCGACCTACAATCATGTGCAAAAATTATTGGGACACGGTCATGACACCTAGTATCTACCCCCTCTCCCCCCAAAACAATGTTGTTTCTATGATACCAAGCCATTTGATTTGCCGAAAATATCACTCTCAACATTGTCAATGGGGGAAGGGGGGGATAGTAAATAGTTTAACAAAATTCGTGACATAATAGTTGTCAAAATGAAAAAAAATGTGATTAAGATACGTAAAGTCTCATAATTTTTGCACATGATTGTAGATGCACGTTAATTAATAAAAATTTAAAAGCATTTAAATTCTCCGTATGTGTACATGCGTATAAAAAACGCGTAAGTAGAAAGCAGCCTTTAGTGTAAACTAAGCGATTGCTAGGCTGCATAGTTACGCCAAATGAAAACATTTGCCCATTTCGGCTTCTAATTGAAAACATTTAGCAGGGTTTAAAACGTCTGCAAACAACACGGTACATTTAAACTGGTTTATCCAGTATAGGCAAAGGTATGGTTTTAATAAAAATACCCTAACCTGCTACTGTTCTGTACACAAATGTAGACAAAACACTAATAGTACTCCCTAAAAACCACCGTAACTCCAGCCTAGTCCCAGGCCTCTCATTGCGCGTGTTTTATATTTCCGTCACGTCACCGAATGAAACGCGCACGAGAGGCCTAACACAAAATATTTTCTAATCTTAACGGCCCATTTAATGTTGTGAACTTGAAATTAGAATTGTTTTTAAAGTAAATGTTTGCAATTTACAACAGTAACCGTTATAAAGGAAGCGAGAATAATTTAAATGGGTGGATAGAAGTTTATTATAATCATAAACATGTACGTACGGACTCGAGTTTTCTTGATAGTCGATAGCGTTGACAGCGAACGACATTGAAACGTTTGTATGAATATTTCGACTCCTGGCAGTATAATTAATATCCTGTAGCTTATTTCAAGCAAATATTTGACTAACGACGTCGAACAAGGCCAGTTAACCGCGTCGTAGATCGTAAACTGACCTCAATACAGAAAATGGGGACAAAAAGTCCCCACATTAGCCAAAATACAAAACATTTTGTTCTAGGCCTCTCAGTTCCCGCCTCGCCGCGTATAAGGAACGTTAAGAGGCCTAGGGACTAGGCTGCGGTAACTCTGGTTGCAGAGTTGACTGGGTCCGAATCCATGAAATGGTAGTTTTGAAATTTTCTCGCCAGAAGTACAGCTGGAATATTAAGTCTTTTAAACTCCAATATATATTTCAAACGATTTTAAATATTTTGTAGGACTTTTCTCGGGGAATAAAGAAAGACTTATCATTAATGCCATCACAATGCTCATTGCTCACGAAGGTATTGTATATCTTTGCCAATAAATTTATTTATGTTCAACCCTAAAATATACATATTCTGACTGCTATTACCTTCACAGGTGTTCTATATATACATAAAATAGTTAAAAAGTTTCGTCTATTTGCAGGAGACCAAAACAAAATATGAGATAAAGATCTCGAAGCACTGTTTCACGATTTGAGAAGTTGGGTTCGATCGAAAGCAGGTTTCGCGCTTTCACAACGCTCACTAGGCGAGAAACGTTTATCTTTAACTGCAACACATGCTGTTTACTCAACCAGTTCACTTCCGTGAGAAGGTTGGTGTGAAAACTGTGAAAGCTTTGAAGAGGAATAATGAAGCCGTGACTCACGCCGCTGTCGACATGTTGTGCGTGCTCTATGGCAGGTAAAGACAGGGCTTTTCTTTAAGTGGCCAAAATGGTCAGACCGGACATATTTAAATTTAAAAAAGAGTATTTCGTTCAGAATATAGCGGCGAAATTTCCGAGCTAAATAGATGCAAGAAACGAAATACGTAAACTCAGCCAACTTTGAAATTTGCATGTTAACAGGATCCAATTTTATCGAAACCAATTCTGTTGTTTTTTATAGCTAAGGCACGATAACTATGACATTCGACAAGAACAGATAAACAAAAGCTCTCTGTTATCCTGTGAAAAATTTCCAAGCAGTTTGTTAGGAATTCTCACGATAAATGTGGTAAGATGTGTGGTTTTGGTTGCCTATAATCTATGCTGAACCAATTCATTTTATTTTTCAATCCCTCTTGTATGTATATAGCCTTGTTTTGGAAGAGAAATTCCCTTGCAAAACTCAGCAAGTGATTTGTAGCAACTGCCTTTGTAGTTTGGACTACCTTTCTAATTAACACAGGAAATAGATTAACCATGAAAACTTTTGTTCTAGAATCGTTCCACTGGGGCTTTAGGTATAAGTGGATTGCTTGATTTTTTGACGTTTGCTCTGTGTCCTCCTTATAGGTGAAGTTCAAGTTGCTTTGCAATATATCAAAATAATGTGGGGGGTGAAGTTGGACATTCATGTTAAACTAATAGTAAGGTGTGATTGCTTCTAATATTTTGAATCAATCATGTGGTCTGTTATAATAAATCGACTTTTGCATATTCCTCTTAGTGAGACAACAGACGATGAACAGTTTGGGAAATTACTGGAGAAAGTTGCAGGTATGCTACAAAGAGATTTGAGGAGTTTTCATTCAACTTGCCTTCTTAGTAGTTTATAGCTCTTTGACTGACGTTGAGAGTTGATTAAATTGCCTTTCTCTCTTTACATTTTTGGTGAAGTCTACCACGACCACTAGCTTGACCTATGCATGGGAGCAACTCATGAAGTCTGTTATTTGTGTGTCTAGAAATCGGTCATTGCATTTATCGATTGTTCCAGGTAGGTTTACGATAAAACTGCAATAAATAGTACCAATTTTACCATTTCTTCGCTTATGTATGTTTTACTATTGCCCCGCTAATAGTTCTTACCAATCGTGGTTTTGAATTCGTTCCTCAACAATTTCAGCATCCGTCGACAACAATTTGAAAGGTGCTGGTATGGTTCTGAAGGCGATAATCGAGGTACGTTTTATTCATTCATTGATCCATTCAGAATTTTCTGCTTTTGACGAACGTCATTTATAATGCTCTGCCCTTTTTTAGCTCTGATGAATGTACATATTAGTTCAGTTGATATTTAAGAGGTTTTAAAGCGTCTTAATTTTGAGAAGTATTATACACACTTCAATTCAAGCCAGGAACAGTTGATGGAAAAATGAGTCAACTATAGATCCTCCGGCAGGAATCGCTTTTGCGATGCCGGTGCAATGCTCTTGTCACTGAGAACGTATAGTTGACTAATTTTTCCATCAACTGTTCCTGGCTTGAATTTGAAGTGTGTATAATACCACACGAAATTAAGACCCTTTAAAACCTCTAGAATATTCCTGCACCGTGTGAAGTGCCTAAAATCATCTGTTGATATTTATTTAGAACTTCACTTTAGGAAGCTGATGAAGAAACCGCGGCAAAAATACAAGATTTGGCGCTTGCCAAGGGCGCTCTACCAAAACGCTTACGCATGGCCATGATTACGCAAAGCACTGATAGACGTTCGCTACTGAACAGGTGCGAATTAGTGTGATAAATTAACAAATTGTTGCAGATGTATAGCCTCGATTCCATCCGGAGGACCTGAGTTGTATTTTAGCAACATTCTTAGATTCATCTTAAAACTTGTGATTTTATAATCCTCTATATACTAGCCATCTGTAAATAGTTCAATTGAGACTAACAAGCATACTCCATAAGTAATTTATAATCTTTATTGTTGGCATATAGGCAATTGAGTGGACATCTAGTGGCTCTCTGGACAACTGGTCATCCAAGAGCAATGGCATTACTTGTGAGAATAATGTTCGTATTAAAGCAGTTATAGTTTTTAATGTCTAAAATATACAATAAAGTTTAAATGCGGGATTTCCTGTTCGTAAGTTTTGGTTCATAAACCATTATGTAATAAATTTGAATACGATTTTCACAGCCTGCTGGTTTGCTCTATTACCTTGAAAGCCCTGACGAGGTAGGAAATCTTTGAGAATTTTTTGCGAGGGCCATTATTTACATAAACCCATTGCAGTGGTTCTGACTAACCAATCATAATAGTGACTAAGTGGTATCAACTGCTTTGGTAACTAAACTCCATCATTCATCCTTATACTGTGCCAACTGCCCCACTGACGAAATAATTAATAGTAATTCATTCAGAAGTGTAAAACCTTTTTGTAAAGAAGCAATTTTGTTGGAAAGTTTTTATCTTTCCTTCAGCCACCGGAGACTAAAGAAGATCATTTATCAATTCGTGACAATGTAAAGCTTGCAGAGTACGTTTTAAAGCAACAATCGTGTTCCAAAATTTCATGATGCATGCTTGTATGTACGTATAAGCCTGTTATTTCACGCGCTATACTTGTCTGTTACAGCTCAGGAAAAGCGAGAGGAACGTCAAGGAATCAACTTGAAGGATATCTCTCGCATTGGAGACAAAAATAGGATTCAAAGCCAGGAAGATGTGAGAATTTAAATCCAGTTGTTTTATTACAAGTAAGTGTTCATATTAAGAAAATGGGAAATGTTCTAGTCGTTTGAAAGATGAAAAAGCAATGGTATTTAAACGGATCTTTTTTACAGATTCAGTCAAGATCTGACAGCGTACAACCTGATTTGGAATTACAAGGTGAGTCTCGAAGTTAAAGTTAGTTTCCATTGAAAATATAGGAAATGAAAAGGTAATGGAGAATTTCCTGTCGCTATGAGTATAACAAGACAATTCAATAGTCCTGACCTCTTTCTCTAAACTGTTGTCGTAAAAGAGTATGAAAAAATTTCTTTTGTTTTCAATGTGACAGACGCGAGAGGAACTTCTGGGGCTCTCGAATCTGAGATGCGCAAATTTGCAATGGAAAAAGACCTGAGTGGAAACTACGTTGTTTTTTGGAATCACCTTTAGTTTGAAGTCCTGCATGAATGTTTAGCTGATCAACTGAAAATAGGTTAGTGATAAGCCTTATACTGCTCTAGCTTTTTAACAGTTCTTCTTAAAGCGCCCCCCCTATCCCTCGATCGCAATCAAACTCAGTAACGTATCTCTCCTATCAGGCGACTATTATTTGAGAGTCTTGTTGGAACAAAACGACGGGGAGACGCCGATAACAAATGTGTGAGTCCACGACATTTATCTATCAGGATTTGCAAATATTCAAACTACTGTCTTTTCACAACAGTGATATTTAAGAGGTTTTAAAGCGTCTTAATTTTGAGAGTATATACACACTTCAATTCAAGCCAGGAACAGTTGATGGAAAAATGAGTCAACTATAGATCCTCCGGCAGGAATCGCTTTTGCGATGCCGGTGCAATGCTCTTGTCACTGAGAACGTATAGTTGACTAATTTTTCCATCAACTGTTCCTGGCTTGAATTTGAAGTGTGTATAATACCACACGAAATTAAGACCCTTTAAAACCTAGAATATTCCTGCACCGTGTGAAGTGCCTAAAATCATCTGTTGATATTTATTTAGAACTTCACTTTAGGAAGCTGATGAAGAAACCGCGGCAAAAATACAAGATTTGGCGCTTGCCAAGGGCGCTCTTACCAAAACGCTTACGCATGGCCATGATTACGCAAAGCACTGATAGACGTTCGCTACTGAACAGGTGCGAATTAGTGTGATAAATTAACAAATTGTTGCAGATGTATAGCCTCGATTCCATCCGGAGGACCTGAGTTGTATTTTAGCAACATTCTTAGATTCATCTTAAAACTTGTGATTTTATAATCCTCTATATACTAGCCATCTGTAAATAGTTCAATTGAGACTAACAAGCATACTCCATAAGTAATTTATAATCTTTATTGTTGGCATATAGGCAATTGAGTGGACATCTAGTGGCTCTCTGGACAACTGGTCATCCAAGAGCAATGGCATTACTTGTGAGAATAATGTTCGTATTAAAGCAGTTATAGTTTTTAATGTCTAAAATATACAATAAAGTTTAAATGCGGGATTTCCTGTTCGTAAGTTTTGGTTCATAAACCATTATGTAATAAATTTGAATACGATTTTCACAGCCTGCTGGTTTGCTCTATTACCTTGAAAGCCCTGACGAGGTAGGAAATCTTTGAGAATTTTTTGCGAGGGCCATTATTTACATAAACCCATTGCAGTGGTTCTGACTAACCAATCATAATAGTGACTAAGTGGTATCAACTGCTTTGGTAACTAAACTCCATCATTCATCCTTATACTGTGCCAACTGCCCCACTGACGAAATAATTAAATAGTAATTCATTCAGAAGTGTAAAACCTTTTTGTAAAGAAGCAATTTTGTTGGAAAGTTTTTATCTTTCCTTCAGCACCGGAGACTAAAGAAGATCATTTATCAATTCGTGACAATGTAAAGCTTGCAGAGTACGTTTTAAAGCAACAATCGTGTTCCAAAATTTCATGATGCATGCTTGTATGTACGTATAAGCCTGTTATTTCACGCGCTATACTTGTCTGTTACAGCTCAGGAAAAGCGAGAGGAACGTCAAGGAATCAACTTGAAGGATATCTCTCGCATTGGAGACAAAAATAGGATTCAAAGCCAGGAAAGATGTGAGAATTTAAATCCAGTTGTTTTATTACAAGTAAGTGTTCATATTAAGAAAATGGGAAATGTTCTAGTCGTTTGAAAGATGAAAAAGCAATGGTATTTAAACGGATCTTTTTTACAGATTCAGTCAAGATCTGACAGCGTACAACCTGATTTGGAATTACAAGGTGAGTCTCGAAGTTAAAGTTAGTTTCCATTGAAAATATAGGAAATGAAAAGGTAATAGAGAATTTCCTGTCGCTATGAGTATAACAAGACAATTCAATAGTCCTGACCTCTTTCTCTAAACTGTTGTCGTAAAAGAGTATGAAAAAATTTCTTTTGTTTTCAATGTGACAGACGCGAGAGGAACTTCTGGGGCTCTCGAATCTGAGATGCGCAAATTTGCATGGAAAAAGACCTGAGTGGAAACTACGTTGTTTTTTGGAATCACCTTTAGTTTGAAGTCCTGCATGAATGTTTAGCTGATCAACTGAAAATAGGTTAGTGATAAGCCTTATACTGCTCTAGCTTTTTAACAGTTCTTCTTAAAGCGCCCCCCCTATCCCTCGATCGCAATCAAACTCAGTAACGTATCTCTCCTATCAGGCGACTATTATTTGAGAGTCTTGTTGGAACAAAACGACGGGGAGACGCCGATAACAAATGTGTGAGTCCACGACATTTATCTATCAGGATTTGCAAATATTCAAACTACTGTCTTTTCACAACAGTTGATATTTAAGAGGTTTTAAAGCGTCTTAATTTTGAGAAGTATTATACACACTTCAATTCAAGCCAGGAACAGTTGATGGAAAAATGAGTCAACTATAGATCCTCCGGCAGGAATCGCTTTTGCGATGCCGGTGCAATGCTCTTGTCACTGAGAACGTATAGTTGACTAATTTTTCCATCAACTGTTCCTGGCTTGAATTTGAAGTGTGTATAATACCACACGAAATTAAGACCCTTTAAAACCTCTAGAATATTCCTGCACCGTGTGAAGTGCCTAAAATCATCTGTTGATATTTATTTAGAACTTCACTTTAGGAAGCTGATGAAGAAACCGCGGCAAAAATACAAGATTTGGCGCTTGCCAAGGGCGCTCTACCAAAACGCTTACGCATGGCCATGATTACGCAAAGCACTGATAGACGTTCGCTACTGAACAGGTGCGAATTAGTGTGATAAATTAACAAATTGTTGCAGATGTATAGCCTCGATTCCATCCGGAGGACCTGAGTTGTATTT